TTCCCGATTGTTTGTCATACTTGTATGCTCTGCATTTTGTCCTCTAGGTTGGTTAGGCGCTCCTCGATGGCATCCTGACGACTAGACATGTCCGATATAATCTCGTAGACCGTGTTTTGTGTCTGCGAATGGTATTCACACAATCACAAACATGCATTGCACATCAGGAGTCATACACAATTGAAATGTATTCTTTAATGCTGTACAGTCGAACTTCTATAAATCTGAACTCTAATTAACACTTAGGAAAATCATTATAAACTAGCTAAGACCTTCGTGAAGGTTAACTAAGCTCAAGGCAAATCAATTTGACTTTTCTGATTTTCAATATTCTCTGAGCTTTATTGAAAAAAAATCTAACATTTTGTTATCGGTTTAAATAACAAAGGTGATATTATATTTTAGTTATTGTTCTCTACTTTAATGTCATTGTTCTTTCATTTAACTGACACATAAAAAACATTTTCCTTTGAAAGGAAGTTCGACTGTATTTTGCGTCTGTACGTTAAGCTACCTTGGCCATGTCAGTTATTGTATTTGCATTATCCATTAGTTTGCGCTGATCCATTTTAACTTTTCGCAACCTAAATCGCATCGGAAGAGTCATCAATATTACAGAGAACATTATTTAAATACAAGATGATAAATAGCCAACATATAACACTAAGCGCGTAACATATTTAGGACTTTTTGTCTCACACTCACACACAATTAATTTTTTAATGGAACATTTTTTCAAGTTTCGTCTAGCCGAAAACACAATTTCCATCCAAAGCAAAATCAACTTAATACTATAGACTGTCATTAGACGTCGGACGAACTGGCAACAGCGTGTTTCGAAACTTTAAGAGGTATTAAACAACTTTTGAAAAGTTATAGCTTAGTTAATGTTTTCTGTATTAATTTTTAAAATCAATTAAAAAAGTTTTTGAATCTCTGCTTTTTCAACATTTAGGTATTCTATTAATTGAAGTATACAAACTTGAATTTTTTTTATACTACACACACCGTTTAGGTTTCGAATCGCACTGCTTAATAGATCAAATTCGCTTAAAATGTTAATTATTTTATTATTATTAATTTTATTTTGGTGTGTAGAATTCGTTGTGCCGTAGTTGATAGAAAGATTAGAAGGGAGTAAGAAAAAAATTGCATATTTCTTTTCGGGCGTTAAAACTGCAGAAAATCGTATCGTGAAAGCATCATCATATCATTCGGCTGATATCTAGGCCACTTTCCCTGGCGAAAGTTATGAGTAGGATGGATGGAACTACGACAATTCACAGGATTCAGTGGGACAGGATCAACAGTTTTGGACAAATTACAAGTTTCGATTGTTACGAATGCAATGGGAAGCGGTGAATGCAGTGGATTCCTTTTTTGTCGGTTAGTAGAGCAGATATGATGGAGTTATGTGTAATGACACTGGGCACTAGTCAAAAGCACAGATGATATTGCGATAGTTTTTGATACGAGATTCTAGAATATTTAACGCAGCATGCTAGGTTATGTGGCTAGTCTCGGTTATTGCATAACGTAAAAACAGGGCTTTACAACCTATTTACAGGCTAGTAAAACGAGTTCAATCATTTGTGGTTTCAACATTTCAGTTTAGTACTTGGTAATTATCGTTTTTAGTATTTTGATTAATTCGGGTTATATACTTTCGTTTCGTACGGATGTATATACAGATTTTGATGAATGGCTCTCCCAAAGCTTGCCTACGATTTTTGATGGGCACAAATATGAGTCTCTAAAAATGAATTTGGCGGTGGGACGGGAAACAGGAATGGGTTAGTTTTACGAACTGGGGGAACTGATTGTTTTGAGCTATTCTGACAAACAAAGGTATAACGTACAGATATATTTGTATGTAGACAAATGAGAGTTAGTTAGTCACGAAAATGTAGAGACAGGAAAGGAGACAAAACATAAACGAACAGAGACGATCAAAATAATAATGGTTTTCCCAATCTAAAGACCCGAAAACTACTATTCGATCTGATACCATTTTGGTTCTTAGATTGTTTTGAGGCACTCTTTTCGATTTAGTTATTTTCTTTTTGATTGGTACTTGTTCTTATTTTTTGGTTGGTTGGTTTGGTTTGGTTTGGTTTGTTTTGGTTGGTTGGTTGGTTGGTTGGTTGATTGGTTGTTGATAGATCTCTAAGAATACTCACGCATATATAGCTAGAAGGAACTTTCTTTGGTGGGTTCTTACACGGCCGGGATTAACCCGTTTTACTAGTCTTGTATGTTTGTAAATGAGCCAAGTTTCACGCAGAACATTCGCCGCAGCATTTTTCAGCTAAATTTTGGTCCAAAGAAGAAACGTATACAAAGTAATTAGAATGCAATATGGATACATGGTAGATGGTGGTACATATATGGTTTTTTTTGGGGTTTTCGATTCGTGATATGGGTGGCTCCGGTTCGGTCAGTCGGTCGCATTGAATCGAATCGTATCGTATCGAATCGGATCAGATCAGAGACTTGAGAGAGTTGAGAGTTGAGAGTTGAGACTTGGAAACACGATCAATACCCGTTTGGTCAACTGCGTGTCCATCATGAAGTTGTGCACATGCTTCTCGGCACGGGTCAGCTCCAGTTTCCGGGAAACTACGGCCACAAGTAGAGCCGTACAGCCGGCGCCCTGTAACGACGATGTGGAGAGTGGTGAGATTGGGCTTTAAATTTCGAATAACGCGCGCAACTGAGGTGAGTTGAGATTTGATCTGAGATCTGGGATCTGGAACCCCCCGGAACACCCAACTCCGTAGGTCCACTTAATTGTATTGTAATTAATTGCTTCTTTCGGAAAATTGCCTTATTTCCAATAGAACATTTAAAAAAAAAAACTAGCTAATATTAACAAAAAATAGTTTTTTATCATTATAGTTTTCATTGTGGGTCAAAAGACTCAGAGTGTCTTGAATAATAAAACCCAATGTACACTCATCCAAATTTTAGATAGCTACGTAAGATATTTAACGAAAAATTTGCAATATTCTTAACAAGAAAAGAATGTTCCCAAATAAGCTGTAATTGGCCAATGGTCAAAGGCAATTTTCTTAATTGTGACACAATTGCACTCAATTTCTTTGATGATAGTTTATGGTGAGAGGTTTGGAGTTTTCGGAATTGGGTGCCCGGCCATCTGTAATGTCAGTTGGTTATTTTCACTTTTGGTTTTATGCATTCAAAATGAAAGTTGCTTTTGTTTATCAAGTTTTATAGTCCAGAACATTTGTTGTTGCTCTCACAATAGATATAGTAATTTTAGGAATGTTACAACATGTATATATGTTATGTTTTAGTTTTTTTTTCTTTTTGTTCTTTCCTTTTCTTTTCTTTTCTTTTCTTTTCTTTTCTTTTTTTTCTTGTTCTTTGTTCTTTTCTTTTCTTTTTAAATAGTTATTTTTTCGTTTGCTTCTCGATGGTTGAACGATTAATGGGTGAGTGGGTTGAATGAGTATGGATGATTGGATGACTACCTTCAAATTGAAATTTCGATATATATGGATAGATTGGAATGCAGCAACGTTTTCGATTAGAACTTAGAGATACGGAGATGGGTGTGGGGTTTAGTTTCGAATTAGAGTAATTTCAAAAGAGTTAACGGATTCGGGTTCGGCACATTTCTATATTTAATACAACAGTTAGAGGTATCTGGCAGAGAGTTACATACACACATATTTACGAAACAATTAGCTAGGGAACAAAGTTGAAACCATAAATCACAATTCATAGTCAAGTTAGGAGTGGAAATATCTATCATAGCTTTATTTATTTTTTGTTTTGTTTTGTTCTTTTTCGGCCACTACGACATGATAAATATCTCAAAAAGTCTAAGAAAAAAGCAGAAAGTCAGACGACTGGTAAGGGGGAAATCGAAATAGAGTTATATATGTATGTATATATATGGAGAGACAGAGAGAAAGAGAGAAAGAAAGTAAGCCACACAGAAGCAGAACTGGATAAAAGGTGGAGAAAGTTAGAAGTATGGAAAATATATATTTAATTCGTTTTTAAGAACTATTTCCTAACCGGTATGCTATGTTTTATTGGCGATTTATTTATAGTTATTGTTGTTTACTTGATCTTTTCAAGACACTTCACTGGCTAAAATTTTATGATTCGACTTGAAAATTGCTCAATCTGATCTCAATTTTTCCTGAAAAAAACATGCATTTATCTCTTCAAATCAAAGTTCTTAAGATCGCTTTGGTGTGTCAACTAGGTTTTTGATATATGTATGTACAGTTAACTAGAAATATTACGATTGAGGTGAGTTTAGATTTTTTTTCTTGTGTTTTTGTTAAAAGTGGTGGCGAGGGGCGGTTGTGGTTGACGGGTAAACATTCGTATGCAGTTTATGTAATTATTTACATATGATTTCTGTTCTATTTGAAAGATCTAAGTTTTTTTGTTAAAAATTTTTTTCTTTTTTTTTGTTTTTATTACATTTTTTTGATTTTTATGTTGTGTGCAATTGTTGGTAATATTTTGTTGTTAAAAACTCACCATTATTCCTGTACTGACAGCGATACCACGTCCACAGTACGTATTCGGAACAATATCACCGAACCCAACACTCAAAAATGTTATCGCTATCAGCCACATTGCATTCAAAAGATTCGCATGTTCTTCATCATGAAATCTGTTCCATAAACCAGCACGCGTTTTTATATTGTTTCGTTTTTTTTTATATATATTTGTTTGGTTTGAAATATATATATATTTTTTTTAATTGGTAATGGTTTGTTTATGGATTTAATCAGTTGAAGTTTCAGTTTCAGGGGTCAAATTGAATATACGCGTTTATTTTTTAAATGAAAGGGAAAGAGAGATAGAGAAAAATATCGTATTGTTGGCTTAATGTTCAAAAATAAAGTATAAGAATCCATTAAAAACTAAACTGACACAGGTAAAATTAGGTAAACCAAAAAATCAAACAAAAACAAGTAACGAAAGTAGTAACGAAAACGCAACGAAAATAATAAAAACAATTGTGAAAACGAAAAGTAAAAGTTAGAATGGGCATTCTGCATATAGGAAAACGAGATTAACAACAAATGGACGAGAAAACGGGTGAGCGCACACAATACAGTGGTCCAAAAAGAGCTTGATGGGGTTTTGGCTTTTGGGTTGTTGGTTTTTTTTTTGGGGGTTTTCGGTTTTCGGATATATTGAGATGTTGACAGTTATGGACGTAACCGTTAATATATATGTATATATGTACAACCAGGGGGGTTTTTGGCCCGATGAAAGCTTGCTGTACAAAAGTGAGAGTTGAAAATATATATGTTTTGTACGTTATCTAGTGATTTGTTATTCTTAAGGAAGGAGCTTCTAGGGTGCAGAGAACAATTCAATTTAATTTCCAAGGCCCAAACACACTCACACACACAGGCCCACTCGCACACACGCACGCAAACTGTGGCACACTCACACCCAGACAGTTAAATGTGCACATTAATAGAATTTGCCGGAGCTGTCAGAAAAGATTTGTTTTGATTTTCTTTTTGTTTTTGTTTTTGCCAGGAAGCAAAAACTTTTCTCGGTTTTTCCTTTGCTTCCTCTTTAAAGTATATCTGTGTGTGTGTGTCAGAAATTTTTTTTTTTCGTTTTAGTTTTTGCTTGCAGAAAAAATAGGACAACAAGAAAAGTTACATTGTTATCTGCGCTCTTTAAAGCTTCGAAAGCACACACACACGCACACATGGTGATTATATAGATATATTTAAATACATATATTATGTGTGCTTATGTTTGTAGTACAGCACACACACACACACACAGACACGCGCACACAAAGTGGGTGGTAACATATATATATATATATATTTTTTTTTTTGGTGATGATTTACAACAGATTGCCGGAGTGTGTGTTTATTTGTGGGTGGGTGGGAATGTAATGTGTTTGTATGTATAAATCGCGGCCTGACTGAAACAAAAACCAGATAGAGCGAGATGAATACTGATATAAAACTATCGCTCGACATTTGTTTTCCGCTTTTTTCAGTTTATTTTGGCTTTTTCTTTTTTTTTTTTTTGGCGACGATTGGGGCAGACAAAACGGCATCTAAAATATGTGCGCTGAAATGTATGCTACGAAAAATGGATACGTGTTTTTTTCTTTTGTTTGTGTGGGTGGCAGTCTCCAAACGGATTTTGGATATTTGAATTTGAATTTATAACTCTGGTGGGGGGCAACAGAGGGGGAAACTCGAGAGCATCGAAAAGGCAGGTCAGGGAATAAGCCCACACACGTACACGGCAGAAAATTGTGTATCATTTAGGCACATCTGATGTTATAAGATCAGTATTATAAATTATTAAAATCAGAATTTATATTTAAATCAATTTTTTATTTTCTTTTAATATAGTTTTTGTCCATGGAAATGAAAATTATTTCTGTGGTGTTAATATTTTTAGTTGTTTATATTAAATATCATTAAAAGTTCTGCTTATGAAAAAAAGTCTGCTTATCTTAAAAAAGTCAGAATCATACATATTTGTAACATACATATGGTTCGGATTAAACGTTTATCGAAATACGTTTTGGACTAGAAATTATTTATAATTTACAATTATGGAGCTTTACAGAGGATTACAAGTTTCAAAATATCTAGGGATTTTGTGTGGCATTTTTTTATGTGTACAGAGAAGTGAGTGCGTGCGTGTGTATCGGTTGATTTGGCAGGTACAATTACTATAAAATACTATATATATCTGTTTTCTTTTATTTTTCGGGGGCGCCTCAGTGGCGACTACTTTTCTGGACCCCCCTTTATCATCCTCCTTCTCCTCCACCACCTCCTCCTCTTCTTTATCTTCTTCTACTGCTCTTTTGCTTGCGATGGGTTTGATTTCTCATATTTTTATGCATGAAAGTTTGCTGTTTGCTGTTGTTGTTGCGGTATTTGTTGATGATGATGTATGTACTTGTTGTTGTAGTAGTTGATTGTTTATCTTATTATAGGATTTCTTTATTGTTTGTATATATGGAAATATATATATTTTTTTGCTGTTTTGTTTTATTCTTGCAACTGTTCTGTTCTGTACTGTTCTATTTTTGTTTTTTTTTTATTTAGTTTTTTTTTGTATCTTTTAAGGTATTTTCAGTATCATAAATGGAATTTCTGGGAGTCTTTTTTTGGTATTTCTTTTTAGGATTGAGGCTTTGTTTTTTTTTTTTTTAGGTTTTTGAAGGAAATACTTACCACCATGCCGCAGGTGAGGGTGATACCGCGTCCACAGTACGTGTTTGGCACAATGTCGCCGTAGCCGACACAGAGAAATGTGATGGCCGTTAGCCACATGGAGTTTAGCAAATTCGCGTGCTCCTCATCGTGGAACCTTTTTTGCGGATCGAATCGGATCGAATTGTATCGGTTTTCGGGTTTTGTTTTAGAATTTATCGGCATGCGTTTGGCATTGTGGGAAAATGGGGTACGAATTTCAGTTATTTCGTTTTGTTTTATCATTTATGATACGTATTTTTTAATTGGTTTTATTGATTTTTGTTTGTCGTTTTTGTTTTTTTTGTCATTAGCGGTTTTACGTTTTTGCGGTTTTCAGTATACAAAAATATATTTAAAGAATTCGGTATTTCAGATGCGAAGTGCGTATTTCGTATGCGTTTTCAAGTTGCGGTTGTTTTTTCAGTTGTTGTTTGGTATTTTATATATATATTCGTTTTCATACATTTTTGTTGGTATTTTTTTTTTTGCAATTTGTGGATACAGAAGTAGGGTGAGAAGTGGAGTAAACAAATAAACAGATGTGAAATTATGTGAACATTTTTTGTTTAAATTTTTTCTATTTATTTTTTCGGTTTTGTTTTCAAGAAAATTAAGAATACAATTTTGTAAATTTTGTTCATATTTTCAAAAAATTTCCATGTACATAAATAATACTCATAAGTACAATAGAAATCAAAGAAATAAATCAAGCTACGAAACGAAAGAATAAAAAAAAACATTTTATAATGAAAAAAAAAAGATAAAAAGAAAAAGTAAATAAAATTAAGAAGGAAAATAATTTGCTTTATCTGTTAGGCTTTTTTTTTCTTTTTGGGCAACGAATTAAAAGTCCTCAATAGAATATAAGAGCGAGATAGTTAGATAGATTGAAAGATACAGATATAGAGATAGGTAGATAGAGTTTCCTCGTAAAGGGGGCTGCAGGGGAATATTTTGGAATATACAATGACATGAATAATATTGATTAATTATAGTTTGGATAGTAGTTTGGCAATTCGATTACAACACTTGCTTCGGCATCGGTTCAAAAACTGTTTTCCTCTCATAATTCTCCTCTTCTCCTCATCCTGTTTCTTCCTCCTCTCCATATTGACCTCTTCCTGCCGGGGCATGAATGTCTGATTGGAAAGGGAGCTTAGGCCTGGGCTTGGAAATGGGATTGGGATTGGGATTGGGATTTGTGCTCGGTGCTGGGTCTTCGAACTGATAACTTTTGATCTGAACGGCACAGATGCACATACTCGCACTCACACAAAACGGCACACACTTGTGACTACATGCAAAACGACTGAAATGGCCCATCCGAGAGTTACGCCCCGTAAAACCCCGCTGCTCTACCTGAAGAGGCTTACCAACTGAAGCCCTAGAGATGTGGCCACTAAATGCTTAGGCATGCCTGCCGGCACAGCTCCGTTGGGTGCCGTTTTTCGATGGGCGAGTGGGTGGCTCGTGTGTGAATGGATGGTTTAAGCAATTTGGAAAGGAAAAATCATAATGGATGCCAAGAGTCCGTACACTGCGAAAACGAATTCGAATTTTATTTGTATTGAATTCTGTATTAGTTTAAGATGAGTTTTGACAATTATTAATCAAATGTATCGTATAAATGTAGCATCCAAATTACGATTTATTATATAACCAAAGGTAAAATCATTATTCTTTTTTATAAATTGGATTCAGATGCAAGACGGTGTAACCACTAAACACAGAAAAAGCTTAAGGTACAAGGTCACACTAAAAACTCGTATACAAGCGCGGTGTGACCATGAACATTAAACATTAGCGCTTTTTCTTATTTTATATTTAAAATTTTAAACTAATTGAAGTCAAAATATTTTAAAATGACTATATATTAATATATTTCTAAGATAAAAAATTCAATTGGTTTTCTTTGTGTACGTATGTGTTTGTGTATTCAGTGTTTGTAAGCACCCTTGTAATGCCGCACAAATCTTGTTTTTCCTCCTGGTTTTCCCCAATTTTTTCCCTCAACCCTCTGGCCTAAAATCTAACTCACAGAGCTTTGATCCGAGCTGAGCAGAGCATGCATGGTAGGTTAAGATACATTTTCCGGGGATCTCCAACAATACGCACATACACATACAGACACACGTACAGACACAGATAGGTAGATAATTTAAAACAGAAAATAAAGTTTGGACCACAGACAAATCGGAAAATAAAATGTTAGGAAAATTCAGAACCAATTCTACCAATTTCTACAGAAAAACATTAAGATACGAATATAGTCTGAAATTTGAAACAAAATTCAACATCGTTACTATAGTACATACACGTGGGCAGTGTGTTTTGGGTGTTTGTTTTTAAAATTGAAGGGTATACTCGTTGTATTTATTTTTCATTTATTTCTCACTGAACTTTTTCATTTGTTTGTTAAACAGTCCAGTCTATTGCCATGTGCCAAAAATAATACAAAGTAATGAAAACGTGGGAAAGTAAAATCAGAAACAAATCGAGCGGAGAATGTGACACGCAAATCAATACACGTCACTCATCTGAGGCGAAAACAAAATGAAGAGTATTTATATGGAATTTATAGTAGTAGATGATGGAGAACAAGAAGAGGAAGAAGAAATAGGAGAAAGGTATGAGTGCTTCTGTCTCTCTTTTTCTTTTTGTCTTTTTGGCTGAGATGTCCGAATTAGTCGATATGCCTGTGCAGCCAATGAAAATATTATATACATCTAAAGTGGGCAATAAAGTTTTCGACCATTTTATATGAATTTTCTGAAGTGTTCTTAAACTTTGTTTGTCCACTGTTTATAAAGGTATATAGATCTCACTGCACAGACATGTGACTATATATATTGGCTACAGGAACAACGCAACAACAAGGACGACAACAACAACAGCAGCAGCAACAACATCTTATGAAGTGGTGTGTATGCTTTCGTCACTAGACTTAAACGCAGCTGTTGGATTCATCGGTTGTATCGAGAGAGTTAGGATCCCCATAAGATATGAGTGGGTTCTCGTTTTCTTGTTTTTTTCGGGTTAACACATTTGTTTCAAGTTTATTTATGGTTACATATAAATGGATGTTTTAGATATGATCTACAGCAATGCAAGCGCAGTCCACTCCACAATTCAAAGTTTAATTGATTAAATAAATATGCGATGTAAAAATGTTTTTGGTTTTTATGTTTCGATTCCCAAAACTAAACGGCAACAACAACAAGAACTTAAAATATAAGGAAAGTCGTAAATCCATAATAAAATAAAATAAATGATGTAAGAATCGCAAGAACAACGAAAATAGATCAATGTGAGAGTGAGAGAAAGAGAGAGTAGAGAAAATTGAATAGGGACAGAAAATGGTTACCAAAGGCCAATAGAAAGCGAGAGGAACATTTGTGCACCAATTCAATGAGCTTATACAGGGTGTCATTATATTGGAGCTAACCAAGAAAAGCAAGAAGTATTAACCGAAGAGGAGTAAGATAAGTAAGAAGGAGAGAGAAAGAGAGACCGAGCTAGCATACAACGTTCAAACACAAAGATTCAAAGTTTAAAGTATACAAAATTTCAAAAGGGATAATACAGACTTAAGGATAATAATGCATGTATATACGGCTTAAAAACGAAACTGAGAAATAAGATGGACTCTAATCGAGCGTTTACAGTGAAGTTTCGCTACGGCTTTACATTTGCTTTAAACGGACACAGTGTGACCACTGAAATAAAGAGCACATGGTACAGAGTCACACTGCGTTTTGAAGTGCATCATCTTGTTTCTCTGAATCATTAAATTCAATTATTCTTACTGCATTCTCCAATTCTACGTGGTCATTTAGTCTTTTTGTTTTTTTTTTTAACTGTCTGAATGTGTGTGTCTTTTGCGTTGTTGTTGTTGCCTTCTTCCCCTCGATAAGTGCTGGACTTCAATCAACTTTCATCGAAAATATCGATAAGTTGTCAGTTGTCAACAAAGGGGAAAAGTACAGGCAAGATAAATGTAAAAAAGCAATCAGCAATCAGGGTTCTTTTGGGTGGAGGGGGTATGATGAGGGTGGTGGTAAAAAACAAGCGAATCCGAATGCCAAATGTAAATAAATTGAAACACATGCAAGCATTATCCATTATCCAATCGTTTGCTACGTGACAGTGACAATTGCATTTCGATTGTTACAGAATCGCATTCGAACTCGTTACAGTTTTAGTATTTCGTCGGGGATTTCGTTTTCAATTGTGTATGTGAATAAACTGAAAACTACATGTAAATTCTTTAACACGTATGAATAAGCAACAATGCACATTCGCTTTTTTTATTGTGTATATTGTAAGCTGTGGCTGTGCTTCCCCCCCTTGCCCATTTTTTTCCGGACTTTATAATGTTTTCATCAACTTTAAAATATATTTAATACAGGAGAGTACAAAAAAAAGCAAATAAAACATGTGACGGAGATGTTTGGAGTTTGGAGTTTTTTTTTGAGTATCTTGGAGAAGACATTACGTAATGCTTGGCACATACATTTATGTACATACATACATTGATATTAAATACATACGTTTAATAGTTATGTCAAAGTATTAGTGGCAAACACATTGAATCAGAACGGTAAACGAAAATGGAGTTCAGAGTAAAACGTAACAAGTATACGGATAACGAAAAACGGAGTACGGAATAGGGAAAACGAAAAACCGAAACTAAGGAAACCAATCAACCATTGAGACCAAACAAAATAATAAAACGAAAGCATAAGTACAATCAAAAATCAAACGAAAGTAATAAACACAAATAAAAATCTCAACAAGTAGAAATATCATATCATAAAATGGATAATAGAGTATGGCCATTACCTTTCGCACTGACGCAGCGTCCAGGATGCGATGATCCACAGGGAGACCATGAAGACCAATAGAACCGTTCCCGGGCATATTGTCATTAGAGTTTTTAAAACGAATCTATAAAGGATTATCAAATAATGGGAATTAGTTTATAATGCAAATAGTCGTCATAATCTCGAGTCATATAAAGAAGAGTTTATCGGTATTATTTGGAATTTAATCTTGTATTTTCTTTATATTCTCACAATTTTTGATTCTATTAAAAGTAAGCTCTTATTGATAGTTTTTAATATTTAAAATACATAAACTGGTTTTTTGTTTGTTAGAAAACAGGAAACTATTTAAGCAATTAAAATCTTTTGATCCTTTTCTATGGAGAAAAAAGGTATTTCTTAGAAATAGATTTTTGTTTCTTACCTTAGCACTCTTATCTATAAAATATCTTATTTAAATGTTGTTTCTTATGAAATATAAAGGTTATACGACTTCTGTGTAAAAAAAAAATCTAAAGTTAAATAGGGAAAAACTCACCTTGTGTTAAAATTAATCCTATTGAGAGCGCCAATGCTCCGTGATGATGCATCTGTGAATAGCTTTGAATGCAGCAGCATTACGCGGCAGATTAAATATAATCGAAGGAACATAGGTAATGATAAAGCTACGTCATATGGCACCATTTCGGTGCCAATTGTTTTATTCTTATTGGCCAATTTCGTCGTCCACTGGAAATAGTATTCGCCAGGAATTGGATGTATAGCGCATATAAAAAGTTCTAACCCTATTTGACTAATTCGTTGCCATGTCATTGCGATCCTCCAATCGTCGGCGCAGTTATCTATCATGAATAACTGTGTTTTCGATTTCGATTGGAATTATATTCGCATATAGATTGCATGGATTTTACAATTATTTAGTTGTTCGTTGGTGTGTGCCAAAAAAGAAATGAGAAGGGAAGAAAAAAAGGAGAACAAGTATATAATTTATTAATTATAATTGGAGATTTATTGATTGGATTTTGGTTTTTTTGCGACTAAACAAAAATGAATTACACTCAAATATACGAGCATGAATTATTTGACAAGTACAACGTCAATGAGGTGTATGTGTGTATGTGTGTGGGTGTGTGCGAGTGTTGAAGTGTTCAAGTGTGTGTGCCGCCTACGTGTGAGTGTTAATGGTTGTTGTTTCAATGGTGGAAGCAATTTCTGAGTCAAGTTTAAGTATCGTAAGCTTTGGAATCTCCTCGGAAATTCATTTCATGTCTTATGTTTCTTTTTTGGTTTTTATTTTTTTGGTTTTGGTGTAGGTGTGTGCTGTGCGTGTGTGTGTGTGTGCTTTGGTGCATGTGTGAGTGCAAGTACTTACTAGAAAGCAGCGTGCGTGTTCTCGTGTAATTAGCACATTTCACTCGATTTCTTTTTTGTTTTCTTGGTTGTTGTTTTACCTTTATCCTTTTTCTTTACTCGTTATCAAATCATTTTTTCCAAAGTTCAAAATTACCCTCACTAGATTTAATTGGAAATTATCGGAAGCTCCCCTAGACCTTAACTGCATTAATCTAGAGTTCGCAGTGCAATTAGGCCATATTTACAAACATAACATATATTAAAATCACAACATCAAAACAGAGTAGAGTTGGGGAAATATCGAAATAATCGAGGTATCAATGTTCTTAGTAGCGCAATCGAAATATATCGCTATTTCCACATCTCTAATGCAAAGGCGATTTGCACAGCAATCTAAATTATGTGCACTTTTTTACTTCTTTTCTGTTGGGAGAGGCATGGTCGTCTGATATGTGTGTCTTTCGTTTTTAATTGCATATGAGCCATTCGCAAGTTAAGCCGACTGATTAATTGATTATCGATTTACGACAAGGTCTGGGTGCAAGGTCTCTCCTATCTCACATTGACAAAGTCCTGTGTTCTGTTTTTTATTTGGCCAAACTTCGATAATTTTGCTTCTAATTTTGGTGATAGATGGGTTTGATGTTTGATAGTACATATATCGATTAATATATATATTCAGTATCGACTTAGCAATGGGAATGCTCATATGTATGCGAGTGTGCTTGTATGTATGTTGTGCATATGTACATCTAAAATAAATGTTTGCAAGCCGATTGGAAAACGTTTCCTAAATGCTTAACAGGATATTAGTGTCGAAATTTATTAGAAGGGAAATAGCCTCTTGAAGCTTTAGAATCTCTTGAAAATAATAAAAGCAAAGGGGCTTATAAGCTTTATTATAATATTTACATTCGTTCCAAGACCAAAGAAAAACCATTCTCAAAAACTAACTTTAAAAGCATTTTAAATATAAATTAAGTGGGATGTTTTAAATGCATTTGAAATCTATACAAAAGTTTCTTGAATAATTTTCAGTAGCAAGTGTAATTTTTAAAGCTTTTATTTAATTGCTTAGTATTGAATTTGATTCAACAGATTTTTAAATGTTTTTAAGTTCCCCAATTTAATACATTTTTGGAATTGATTTACAGGTATCGTTATCTCATAAGTCCTTGAATTCTACCTTGAGGTTCAAGTTATTTAAAATCACCACCCCCCTAAAGCTTAAACATTTCCACAATCGGTTCGCACATGGCCAGTGTTTACTGTATTGCAAGACAAGGTGAGAGGCGGTTATGGTGGTTTGCGTGCAAAGCTAAGCACATTTTTCGCTATATATTTATCAGCCAAGCGGTAGCCTCTGATCTTGGACAGCGTGTGACACTTTAATCTGTTTCTTAAACTGCAGTTTTGGGTTTTCAGTTCTTAGTTTCCACAAAAAAAAAAATAAAAAAAAACAGGATAGTATAAACACTAGACACGATATATGAGTACATGTACGCGCGGATTCATCTAAACATCGACTTGAAGTTTGTTTGGCTTCAATATGCATTTTGGGGTATATATATAGTATTTATACGTATACCCGGTCTAAGTACGATCTATGGTTTATCTACTCTAGGCATGTTTTGTTTGATTTGGTTTTTGGTTTCTGTTTTGGTTTTTGATTTGAGTTGGTTTTGGTATTGGTATTGGTTGCTTCCGTATATGGTACATAACACTATGCATGGTTTTGATTTGGATTTACTCACAAATATTGAAGTATGTATGGTAGATATTATAATAAGTATTACTTACTGAATTCTGCAAAGCATAATGAAAGGTAATTACATATTAAAATTTTACTTTTAAACATCAACATTAATTTGGGGGGTTAAACAATTAGTCGGAGTTATTATTATAGTAGAGATAGAACAAATTGTGTGAAGAGATTACGAACTATGAGATTTTTGGGGGTTTCATTTGTATATATAAAGAAAGTATATCAGCTGACTGACTGGTTTGATTGATTGACTGGTTGATTGACGACTGGTTTGGTTGGTTGATTGACTGGCAGACGACTGATCAATGACCTGGCTTGATTGAATCATGTACATGGAAATGGTTGAATGCAGTTGTGAAAGTTTTGGGGTTTCAGGGTTTTCTTTGTTTAGCTATTTCTTTTTCGATTGCTATTGAGCTAACGAGGCTGATATTCTGACTATCGATAGCCATATTGAGATATCGATATAGAGACATCAATTACCAATCGAAATTCGATTACTGAACACAGGACTTTGTCCCTACAGTCATCAGTATTTCAGTTTCATTTGATGAAGCTAACGAAAGTTCAGGGTTTTCGAGTTTCTTCCACTTCTCTTCGGTTTTATTCGAGTATGTTGCTAATAGATAATATTGTTATCAATCATGTAGTAGTTTATATTTATGTTTTGTTCATGTTTAAAGATAGAATCAATAGAATTACGTACTAGCCAAATAAATGCTCCCATGCTGTCTACATATCTAAGTTCCAAACGAAACGCACCCCAACCGATTTTATTTTCAAATCGGTTGAGGTTTTTTTGTATCTAGTATTAACTATATATATTTAACTCATGCCAACGATAATTTGTAACACATCTTAACTAAATTTATTGGTTTTTTGTTTTCTTGTGGCTTGATATTTTTTTTTATAAAGTAAACAAAACGAGTAAAGTAAGACGAAACCAATAATTGAAGAAGAGGAAGTAGAAGTGGAAATTGTATAGATTATATATAAAAATATATATGTATATATATGGATCATATATATCAAAATGTTGAGCAAATGAAACAAATTATAGTGCTGTACATGCAACTGGTATTTGAAGCGCATATTGGAGGTAAACGAGTACGAGAACGATTTTGGTATGGAATGGATATAGTATTGTCAATAAGTTCCGCTCTATATCATGTTCAGGGGGTCTGCGTTTAATGTAAATGAAACGAAGTAAAATGAAAATGCCAAAATAGGGCTATTGATAATGAAAATTTCACCACAGGGAACATAATTTTTGTAGGAATTTCAAAATGGTTGGTTAACAATTTAATCAAAACGTTTACAGAAGGCAAAGTAAGATTTTCAAAAGATTATTGGGAAAATGTAATAAGACTTTTTTGTAAAAATTATAATATAATTCGTTAAAATGGTTATTAAAATTACGGTTTAACTGAATTATTTTTCATAATTTATAAGCAGGGATTGAAAATCAGAAAACAACTGTGGTGAATAGAGTGAGTGTGGTGATAAGGTGAGTTGGGTGAATGAGAATGTTAAGCTTTATGTACAGTGTTTCAGCTTTTTTAACTTTTCAATTCGTTTTCAATTCTTTGTGGTGGAATGAAACTCTTCTTTTTTTGTAAGGGGCAGTATAAAAGATGTCCGGGAAATGGCGGAATGGAGTGAGGTAGAAAAAAGGAAGGTGGGTTGTGGAATGAACGAATGGGAAACGGAACCAGAACCGGAAACGGGTTGCCACTTTCTCTCACTCACACTAACTTTCACCGCACATGCACCCTCTAATGCTCACTTTCTCAATATGCGGGAAACTCGATAATAGTTAAAACAAAATAATAAAATAGAAAATAAATCAAAATCATAACCGGATACAAGAAAACGTTTTTTACCAACAAACAAACAATCAAACTTACTCTAACTAACAAACAAACATACAAACAAACCGAGATGGCGTTGATGACGGGTTCGGGATATCGAGGGCTTAGCATGATCATATAGGGGGTTTTGGGGTTTAATATCTGGGAAATCTGGGGATCTATCGGTATTAAGGTGACAGTGAGCGAGAGTGACGACGGCAACGTTAAACAGTTAACGATGACGACCATCAGCAAGAACATCAATAACATCTGGAAGAGAAGAATACAATTTGCACTCACTCTCACCTGCACTTCCAAAGCATGGTAAGCTACTATAAGTCCTAAAAGAATCACAGTCGAAACAGATATTAAGGTTTTTAACGCTGTTGAGTAGAACGATGCCTGTAAAATAGAGAAAAATTTGTGGTTCGAATTAGTCTTAGTTTTCATAAATGATATATGGGTAGTATTCGAAATATCTATGGGCTTCAAAATACATTACGCATTTCTTAGAAAATGTATTTAATCTAAAACTAACAATTCGTGGCTTTCATTTCAAAAACTTATTTATAGGACATAATTGGAAAACTACAATATTTTTCATTCTCCACATATCATTAGGTGAGTCGGACCCTTTAAAGTTTTAAGTTTGTAGTGTTAAAAAGAATATGGTCATTTTCTTAACTCTTTCAGTAAATCTTTATCCATATACATTTAAAAAATCTGCGTGTGGGGTGAAGAAGGAGAAGGGTAGGGATATTTTCAATGGACTTAACATATGTCTACTTACCTTTGTGTAGACACCGGCACTGCTCAGCTCGTTTTCGATTACCATCACGATGATCCCGAACATGCCCATGACCAGGGCGTAATCGCTGATGCGCTTGCGCTTCTCGAACAGGGCTTTCCTCTTTCCCAGGCGATAGCCCACATTGGGTTTGTGTTTGGCCGAGTTTGTCGATGGCTTTCTGGACGTATTGCCGCCAGTAAGAGCACGTTCTTCCATATACCTGCGGGGTTATTGAAGTTCAATCAGATTGACGCGCTGGGTGGCCCAAAAGCCCACACTCACTACCACACTCCCCTCTCCACAGGGCTCTCCACTTTGTTAAGCTATATGTTCCACTACCAAAAAATCGATTGTTAACTACTTTAATTAAGGGATGTGTTGGGTATATAATTATAGTATCAATTGTTCTAAGTCTAGATGGCTTTTCGTGCTAAAAGACAACATTATTTATGCTACAATTTTCTTTTTTCGACCTATAGTTTAGTATCGATGTATAGCAACGTTAACAAATTAATCATATATATAATCTCATATAAATCATAATGATAACAATTTCAGCCTTTTCAATTGCTTTGATTCTATAACAATTCATTTGTTTTTTTTTTTTTTGTATCATTACACTGTTAAACCCCTTTATTAATTGCGTGGTTTTTCGCTACAAGAATATCTAAGTATCTCGTTAAGCTCAATTAATTCACAGTCATGAATGTTTCTACAAACGGATTGAAAGCCTAATCTACTTGTGAAGTTGCTATTTATTTATAGTCTACTAATGAGCAAAACTATCTATCTTATTTGGATTATTTTACAAAAGGATATGCAAGTTGTCAGCAGATTATGTTTATTTTTAGTTTGCAAGACAAGAGGATTTTCGTTTTGATTTATTGCTGATTGAGCAGGAACTAACACCTATATAAGTGTACCAAGAAATAAACAAGTTTGAGCATTAAATTTAACTTGATTTTGCGCTCACGACAGTGCAAAATAACGTTAATTGCCTGACCTATTTTGTTTAAAGATTGTCGTGATTGTATTTAGTTGCTGATTGATTGTAAGCCTGTTTGTTTTCCTTGAATTGAAATACTTCTAAATTACTGTTAATCAAACGCAAATTTAACAAGCGGATTTCGCTTAAATTCATACCTAATACATTTTCCTTCCAATATTCACAGGTTTTCAAGCATCTGAGTGCTTGTCATAGATCGCTGACTAATGCTTAAGTGGCTGGAGGGCTGTCGAGATTCGCAGATTCCTCGGGGGTTTGCCGGGGGTTAAGTCAACCCAGCTCAACTCAACAGAACTCAACTCGAGCGAATCCAACTCAGCTCCGCTGAACTCTAGTCGGCACCTTAATAAATCTTACGGCCTGAATGACAGATTTGTGTGTTTTCGCTTTGCTCTGGCTTTCCTAAATGTGTCATATCAATTTGTATCTCATAGATACACAGACACCGACGACAAGGGGAGTGGGTGGGGGAAAACCCCCTGTTCATGGATGAGCCAAAGATGGCCAATAAAAATTTTGCTGACAAATGAAAATACACAGACACTCACAGCTGGCTGTCCTCGTTTTCGATGCCCATATAGCTACATAGTCACAGTCACAATTGTAGTCGTAGTCATAGTCGTATCCATATATCCAATCCCATGCCCCCACTATAAACTGCTGAACTGTGCCAAATTGCCAACGTGATTGCAGAAAAATATCTTGCCATTCACGACATTTATAGAGATTTATGTGGACCTCAGAACCCAGAATCCATTCGTGAGCGGAATTCACTTTAGAGTGCTTAAATTGAATCGCGCGGTCTCTCGAGTGCTCCCCAATGAATATTACCATCCCGCACATTAACCCCATTTCAATTTTGGGCCTCGTTTCATCTTCAACCACAGGTCACTAGGCCTGACATTGACAGCTAATTATTGTCCCCGGGTTATCCATCAATCAATGATTTGCCCACAGTTACGGTTATCATTTCCCAATCCCGCAAATGTCAAACTTCATTGGCATCTATCTTCTCTAAGTCGTACACCTAAGAAAAACTTAATTTTCAATTATTGATTTAAACAAAATGTAAGTAAGAAATAGTAATTTGAAATCATTAATTACATTTTGGTTAGTTACTTCATTAAGATGTATTATTTACATTAATCTCCTTCATTCCATGGCAGTATATTTATAACTTCATAATTCTGGTGTCTAGTTATGGATATCTAGGATATTATTTGTTTTTTTTTTTTTTTGAAATAGTAATGACGGTTTCAGAGTACCTTCATAAGCTTGTGGTAAGTATATTTTAAAATTAAATGTTGTTACCCCTTGTTGAAAATTTAACTGTTTAAATTATATTTGCTTTTATTTTACCTCTAAAGAGTTTTTGGCTTTATTGTTTAGAACCTACTTGTCTATTTACACACTCTATGATGATTTTATATCGATTTTTTTCAAGGATTTGGGAACAACTAATCAGTTTAAATTCGGACTCTAGGTGGAGGAGCTTATCGAATGGGCGGGGGAGGTTAATGAATGCACGCTTTTTTGAATGTATACTCTACTGTCGGATCGGGCTATACATACATTTCATACCTAGGGTAGTCTGAGTGGATACCCACTAGTGCCTCGGCCGCTTCTTCGTTGCATCCAGATGAGATCTGTTCCCGGTTCGCAATGGAAGGTGTTTTCATCGAGCCAGGAATTGAGAGTGTCGACGCCGGTTTGCGGAGCTAGAATTTATTCATTTACAAATTTATTATTAAGATTGATTTTTAAATAAATAATAAAAAGGGTGTTTGTTTTTGGTTTGTGCTCGGGTGCTTAAGCAACTAGCATTGGGTGTATCTATGTACATAAAATCGAATTTGCATACTTTACCATCAACTTATATTATTCGTATGTGGAACTTCTTATAATATACCTTTTTATTTGACAAACAATTATTTCATATTAAATTAAGAAGATACAGATTATTCGCCTTACAACTAACTCAATAATAGTTTTCTTTACAAGTTTTATTTTACACTCTTTTGCCACTTTTTTATGGTTTTCATTTTTAAATCCTCTGTAGTTTTCTTTATTATTTTTAATAAAAAAAAACCTTTGCAATTCAGAAGCCCTTCGTTATCTCAACATTTGAATAACAAATTTCACTTATGAATATCTCCAATTTGAGTTCCTTTACAACCGACATTTTCTTTATCCTCTGGAATGACGACATCATCACATGCCACATCTCCGTCTTACTTCCTGGTTCCCATCTCAATTCTTGATTCGGTGTAAATCCAATTATTTTCGTCTAACCAAAAATAGACGAAAAATCCGAGATGAAAGCGGGAGTTAAAAGGGCGGGCGGGAAATAAAAAAAAATCCACTTGCTTTTTGCTCTATCTATATCTGGCTAAAAGATAGAGTTTTGCGTCAAACAAAATTCAAGGAGCTCTTCATGCTTTCCTGTTGTATATGTATGAGTGTACGGCCTAATGGTCGAGAAAAGTGAAAAGGAAAAAGCGGCATGTGTGTACATTTGGGCTTCATATTTAAATGAAAACTAAAAGATAAGTAATCTGCTTTCCTACTTTTCCTCCAATATGGGTGCGGTTTAGCATAAGCGGCGAGGGCGAAAGAGAAAGCGAGAGAGGGAGTGGAAAGAAAGTAGTAAAAGTCGTAAACTAGACACACACACAAGAACAAACAGCGGGCAAAGGAGAGAGAGACCCCTAGGACTGCCTAAAATTCAGCTAGGAAATAAAATTCCTTCTTTTTCTCTAGCTCCTATTATTTTTGTTCAGCTTGAATTTAAGCTTCCTCTGCCTTCCAACTGCTCACTCAGTTGCTAAATCCAAATATTTGTTTATAAAGAACAGCTCAGTCGCCTTTTTTGCCCCCCCCCCGCCTTTATCTTTTGCAGGCACCTTCGCCATGGGAAAAAAGACTACGTGACTGGGCGACAAGGCTCGAGCTTAGCTTGTACTTCACTTTCGGGATCTGGGGAGAAAAAGCGTAACAAAAATAGGAAAAATTTACTGGAATTGTGTCCAGAGAAAGCAAGCAAGTTGAGTGCTAAGTACATAGCATAATTTTTAATTTAACACTCTGCAAATGACTCTATTTTAACTTGGAATTGAACTTAGCTGCAGCCAGTGCTGTGATTAATTCTCATTGAAGCTATACCATATGTGCACTGAAAAAACATATATTTTTGAAAATACTTATTCGAGTAAGGTAAAATAAAATAAATAATTTGTATTTAAAATGTACCTTTAAGTTAGTATTGCTTATATTAACATTACAAATCACTTTTAAGTTGAAATATGAATAATATAACAATATAATAATAAAGTCTTAGAAAAGCGCAGGATAAATGCCTTTTCCTTTTAACGACCCTCTGAGCTTATAGTATTAAATTAGTTTTTTCAAAAGAGAACATTTTTTAAAGTGTGGTTTTTATATTGCATTTTCAAGCATAAAACATTCTAAATTCTTACTCTTTGTATTTTCTGTCTCCCACGAGAGCCCTCACACACTTTTGACTATTTGCAAGTGCAGAATGCTGTTCCTTGGCATGGGTAAGGCCATAATCAGTTTTTGGCTTTCGCAGTTTGTTAGTTGCTCGGTGAAAGCCAGCCACTCCCCTGTAATGAAAGCTGCCTGCTTTTTCTCTATCTGTTTGCTTGTGTGTGTGTGTGTGTGTGTGTGTGTGTGCACTTGTTTATGTGCGTTTGCCCCAACCTGCATGTATGTGTGTGTGAATTGGTTTATGCTAAGTAGATTTGCTTGAATGTGGCCCTCGCTCCTTGTGCAGCTGTGTTGCTTGTGTCACTGTTTAAGCCAGTTGAAAAGAGATGAGCCAAAGTTGTCCGACTTGACTGGGATTTCCTGAGGTCTGGTCTACAGCGAAACTCAGGGGGCGATCATGTGGATAATTTGACAGATTTGTGGGCGTGGATGAGTTGCCCTTTGACCCCGGTAGTGTTATCATAATGGAGTGAAACGACAAATCGGGGTGTCATCGTCTTGTTTTCGTTCGATTGAATGGCCGTCAAACGGTGGCACATGTTCACATGAAGAGATACCAATGAAATGATACGAATGTATACGGATCAAGATATTTTAAAGGGCGCCCGTTCCCAAAATATTTTCATTTAGTAATAATATCTCAAAAATAAAGCATACTTTTTTGGGCATGGAATAAGGGAAAATATATTTTAAGCAGATTCTTTAAGATTACTTGTTTTTACTAAAGAATATCATTAATTAATTAATTAGTATTAGTTAATTAGGAAACTTAAGAAGTTGTGTGACCATGTCTCTTGGCAGTGTGGCATGCTTCTTTATGAAAATATGCACATTGCTGTCCAGTTTAATATTTGAAAGCAGATAAGCCCAGAAAGTGTGTCCAAACATCAAGCTCAGTGACACTTGAAATTTCTTAAACCTCTTCAAGGACATCTTCTAATTCGGGCCAGTAAACACGTTTCAAAACACGATTCCCAGCCCTGCCTTTACAATCAGCATTTAAGGAACATTCCAAACCAAAATCTGGGAAAGACAAATGAAGGGACTTCGACGGGGTGGACGGAGGGGGAAAAGGAGACACTGAGTATCCGAATGTCGTTGCCACAATTGTTTGTTATCGTTTGTTTGTTGCGTGCTGGCCGGTCCAACCACCCACTGCCACCCAGTTGTTCAGAGCTCCCCGAAAAAGCCGCACACACGCACAATTTCGGGACACACGCAATGAGGGGGTGGCGATGAGCGGAGGGTCGTTCGTTTTGGAGGAGGGACACACACGAGACCAACGTCAACATCAACATCAACGCCTACTTGTCAGCAAAGGGTGTGGATTTTCGGGGGTGGCCAGCGAGGTCCTGTTTCGCCCTGTCTACACAAATACATATGCAAAAAGAAAAAGGAAAAATCTATTTTTCGGGAGATGCGTGAGTGTGTTTGTCTGTTTTTCGGCTGCCATGTGCTCATGAAAACACCAACGAGAAAAACAAAAAAAAAAAGTATAAAAACAAAACAAATTGCGCTATTCTAGGACATCTAATGTCAATGATGTTAATTGGATTTCTTAATTAAGTTGAAAAGCGAAACGAGAAGCGGAAAACCCCAAGTAGAAGAAAAAAAGAACAGAATGGAGGACAACTCAGCAGCAGATTAAATAAATGCCTCGAAGGAAGTCTTTTAACTTGAAAATGTTGCAAGTTTTGGAGCGAGAAAATAAGCTTTTGAGAGGCCTTACAATTGGAAGACCACCGAGCATAAATTAAACGCAAACGCATTTAGCCAAGTGGAGTGAACTGAAAAGCCATTGAAGAATGAAATTGAAGAGAATTTCAATTTACACGGAATTTCAAATGCGGAATGCTATGAATAGGATAACTTATAAAACCAAAACGATGATGGCATTTCAACTATACCGACAACAATAACATAATATTCGCCACTAGTGGAATTCAATTAAATCTGTGGAAAATGTGAGTATTCATGTATGTATAAGCAAGCATAATCAAATTTTAAAATTTATACAATCATGTAGAGTGGCCACAAAATACTATTAGCCAAGGGGCCAATCAATATGGGTAAATGCCAATGGCCAATATGGTTGGTTGGTTTTCAAGGATAGACTTTGATTTTTGTTAAACAATATATATATATATATATCTAATTTTCTTATCGTTATAATTAAATGTTGATTTAAAATTTTTCATAAATATACATATAGAAAGAATCTCATATACACAATAGGTTAAGAAGTTCAAATATTAATAAACTAAAATTTAATTGACAATGAGGTATTTATTTATTTAACTCTCCACCAGTAGTATTCTTAGGTTACAAAAATAAACAACAGAGTCTACTATTCTAGATAAATTGACACTTAAGTCTTTGTTGACTAACTTTACAAACAGTGGAATTAACGGGTTGAAAAGTTTATTGCGAAAGTGCAATTTTGTTGGGTAATTTTCCATCTTTTGTGGCAAAATTTTGTTTTGAAGTACTTGGGTAAGTAATTTCGATTGGCGGCCCAACACCATTTGCCCATTTTATCTGTCTCCCTATTTGTATTTTGTTGGCCGATCACGCACACAAAAGAGATGTTGGCATTGGCATTTAGCCGATGCCACGCCCCGAAATTATTTCTCACCTGCGTTCTCACCTTTAACCAAATTAACATACTCATTGCCGACACATAGTTTATGAGCTTCGCATGGACACGCATACTTTTTCAACTAACGGGGCTAGCACACATACACATGTGCAGCGAAAGGAAATTGGTGGAAATTATCGAGTTTCCTATACAAAACGCGGCCAACACGCAAAAACGAAGGGCGAAAGGCGAAATGTAAAGGAAACGAAACTAGGAGAGAAAAAACGAAACAAGCGACGAAATTGGTAACGACTGGCTGCAAAATCCAGGGTGAAGAGGTCCTGAAGATGGAGTTAACGATTACGATTAGGCCCAGCCTCATATACGCATGTGTGTTTGGGTAACTGTGTGGGTTTTCCCTTCGTATTTCGGTTTGCCTTGGTTTCCGTTGCCATTTTCCCCCTTATTTCCCCCACTGCCCTTCCCCGGCTCGTTGTTGCCTAATAAATTTAGCGTAATTCACATTACATTAAGGTTACGTTTTCTTTTCCTCACCAGGAAAACCCACCTCCTTCCCAAAATCTCTGCCTCTCTGTCACACTGCTTGCCCGAGTGCAGGAAATATATAATGAA